CAATATTTGATATTAACCTACTAACAACTAACATACTAACAACTAACAATATTTGATATTAATCACAAAACTCTGAACATATTTGTCTAGGTGGCTGTGCTAGATGAGCCCATTAGGGGCTCGATCACATTCATCCTGTCTCTTATTTATTATCTTTAATTTTGGGGAGCAAATAAATTTCGTTTCGTTTATGAATTGTATGTATCCAACTAGTGCCCGTTCACTTAGCTAACCTTCCACCGGTTGTGATTAATAACTTCTCACAATATTTTTCACATTTTGAACTTGAAGAAAAATAAAATAAAACTTGAATATGACTGAATAAAAGAAAGACAAACTAAATGAAAACAAATGCATGAATGAATAAGTGAGTGAATGGATGAATGAATGAATGAATGAATAAGTGAATGACTAAGTGAGTGAATGAAAACGTGGGTGAGTGGGTGAGTAAGTATGTGCGTGAGTGAGTGAGTGCGTCCGTGTGTGAGTGAGTGATTGAGTGAGTGAGTGAGTGAGTAAATGAGTGAGTAAATGAGTGAGTAAGAGAGTGAGTGAGAGAAACAAAGATATATACTAGACTTGTAAATTCTTTTAACTGCTCTTCGTCTTGGGACATGTACACTAGCGCGTTATTATCATTATGACTCTCCCTCTCCTTCCATTCTCGAGTATGCTTCTTTGTTTTTATATTTATTTACTTTTATTTGTTTGTAATTTTGTCCGCCTGCGTGTGTTTGCTTTTCTAGAAGGGTTTGTATGTATGTATTCAATCGTAACGTTTGTATTGGCCTATGTTTGCATTTGAAAGTTAACCTTGCGTATGGTTATACGTTTTGTGTGGTTATATCGTATTGTATGGTGTGTTTGTGTTTTTCTTTTTCGCGTGTGTGTTTGTGTGTGTGTGTTTGTTTGTTTTAGTGTTTGTTTGTTTTAGTGTGTGTTTGTCTTTCTGCACATGTTTAATGTTAAGTTATCTCTACTTAATTCTAACATTCTTGTCTCACTTTTATGGCTCTGTAATGCTTTTTTATTGTTATCATCACAAGCAAATGGTGAATTATGTATATTATCTTAAGAATTTTTACTCATTTCTTGCCACTTCTATGTCCCATCACCACCATTTTACCGTTTTTATATGGTGAAGTTTATTTTACACAAATAATTTTCATCTAGTTTTGTGTGTCTTTTCACTTACGTTCATAATTTTTTCTTTGTCAAAATGTTATTTGTTCATTAATTTATTAGCTATGGCATTTATTTTTCGTGTTATTTTGCATTTTCAACCTTATCCAGTTTTTCAGTTTTTTGTGCTGTCTAATGTATCTATTGCATCCAATACATCTAATTATGTATCTAAATATATATTCTATCCGATATGTCTTATATTCGTTATCTTCAATCAAAATCCAAAATCCTATTCAAATTCAAACTTCAATTCAAAATCCTATCAAAATATATCCATTTAATCCATTTAATATGTTTAATTGAATATTATTTACAATATATTTATTTAAAATCCAACCAATTAACCCTTATATCCAATGTATCATACACCAAATTAACATATATCTAATTAGCTATCAATTAATTAATTTATTGTTCTGGATAAAAGTTTAATCCATTTACTGGGATTGTTGATCCCTGTCCGTGTTTTAGGAGCAACAAAGAGAGAGAAATGTTAGATTTATTGCTCCCATCCCATTCCACGTTTTACTTGCATCTTCTCCATCTTTTTTAGTTTCTCGGATTGTTTTTTTTGTTATTATTTTTTTCGTTTTTGTTGTTTGTGTTATATATGATTTCTTTTGTTCTGGAGGTAATTATTTTTTGGAATTTAATTTTTTACGTTGGGTTGTTCTGCTTGCTATTACTGATTCTTCAGTTCTTTATTTACTATTTGTTGGATGGTGAGCTTGGTTCTCGAGTTCATTTTTTGGGAAAGTTTTTATTTAAATGATATTTTGCTTAATACAATTTTTTATAATGGTTTTATTTGAATGTTTTTTCATTGAAATAAAACACTGTACTTTTAATTTTCTTTTCGCATATGTTTTTTTTGTGTTTGTTTTAGCGTGTTTGTGTGTGTGTAGGTTTCTGCATTTTTCTCATTACGGATGCAGGCAATTTACGACTTGGATGCTCAAATGTTCAATTTTAATTTTTAGAAAGCGAAAATGAGTTGAATTTTTCAAGGAGTTTTGTGTGTTGTGTGCGCATGAATTTAAAATGTTTTTATTTTTTATTTTCGTGTTCTGCCAGTCATTTTTAACGTACCTTGTTCGCTTTTTGTGGGTATGTTTTAGTTCTCATTTTACAGTAATTTTTATAAACTTTTTTTGATGAATTAAATTCAGTTTTTTGATTATCTTTCTTATTTAAAGATTGAACATCCATCTAGCGCTTAAATGAATTATTTAAAGTATGTATTCTTGTTAATAAAGTTCCTCGGTCATCAATCAATGCAGATCATTTGAAACACTTACAAATTTTTTTAGAAGTTATTAAATTTGATTTTTTTAATTTTTAGCTGTAAATATAAAAACTGAAAATATTTTATACTTTTCAATTATTTTTCATTTTTTTTTATATAAAACATCATGTCATAATTTTTATCGATATTAAACAATTCTTCCGTTAGGAGATTTGACCTCTGCCCTTTCACCCAATCAATGCTAGGTCACATTTTTATGCGCACTTTCCAATGTTTTTCTTACATTATTAGATTTAATTTTGAACTGGCAATCATATTTGTTGTTCTGCCACATTTATTTATGTGCCAGTTTTATTGTGTTGTGAACGTTTAGAGAACATAACAGCCAGCCAGCCAGCCGCCCATTGCATTTCATGACCACAAACTGTTAGCTAATTGCATCTTTGATTTACTATTCCTGCTTCGTTGACTTTCATACTGCAACTCCACTGCTGAACTTTTTTTACTTTTTTTTTCTTATTTTTCGTTTTTGTTTTGTTTGTACGCAAAAAACTTAGCAGAGGTCTTTGTTTTTCTTCTCTCATTGTCCTACTATAATTGAATTTTTACTTTTGTTTTTGGTTTTAGAATTGGGTTAATGCTTGCCTGCCTTTTGCATTTTGTATAATTTTTATATTCTTAATTTCCCTAGTTGCAAACATTTTTTGTTCGTTATTTACTCTACATTAGAAATATTCTTTAGTCATTTTGTTCTTCTTTCTTTCATTTTTCATTTCTTTCTTTTACATTCTCCTATTTTTTTTATCTTTTTTTCTTAAACTATTTAAATCTCTTTTTCGCGTTCTTCATTTTAATCTCTGTCTGACTTTGTTTCTCTCTCTCTCTCTCTCTCTTTCTCTCTCTTTCTCTTTCTCTCTCTCTCTCTTTCTATCTCTAATTTTCTCCGAAATCGTTTCATAATACGATTTAGTTCTCCTATTTATTCAATGCTTTTATTCATCCGACAGTTCCACTTTCCATTCATCATTTGGCTTGGTTCGCCAGTTCTGTCACTCGCTGGCGTTTCCATCGTTCATTCATTCATCCATTCATTCATTCATTCATTTATTCATTCATTCATTCATTCATTCATTCATTCATTCATTCATTCACTCATTAATTTTTCACTCATTTATACGTGTCTTCCTTTAATAAGTCTTCTTCCGTTTATGCATACGATAGTTAATTGATTAATTAATTAATTAAGTATTAATAGTGATGATGAATTTGATAGTGAATTAGTGATATGATACTAATGATGATACAGAAGATAGTAAGGATACAGATGATAGTGAGATGCAAATGATGATTTAGATGATAGCCTATGTGCATTCATGCGATGATTATCCTTCCTGATGTTAATTCAGGACGCATGGTTTGTGGCCAACGTGTTTTATAATGACTGACAATTTATGGCTAGGATTAGTCCAAACTAATCTTACTAAATTACACCTACTTATGTATATTTCCTTCTCTTTTTCCTCTTTCTTTCTCTCTCTTTATCCTCTCTCTTTTTCCTTTCTCTCTCTCTCTTTCTCTCTCTCTCTCTCTCTCTCTGCTCCTTAATCTTTCTCTTTGTTTTTGTGTGTATTTCTCTGCCTATTGGCTTGCCAGTTTGTTTATCTTTCTGTAAATCTGTGTATGTTTATTATTTGTATTTTTTTTATTTCTTACTATTTTATCAGTTTTCCCATGAATAAGAATCTAGTCTTGATGGTCTTTTTTAAGTTTTAACAACTTTAGTCATCTTGTATAGTTTAATCCTTAGCAATTTTTTCACTTAACCTCGTGTTATTAATTCATCGAAGTTATTTTTAGTATAAACGACGATAATATTTCTACTACTTTTTATTAAATATTATTTTCGTTTTAAATTATACTTAACTTTTGCCGCGTTTTTTATATTATTATCTTGATGAGACGTGATCTCTCTGCTGATGATGAATTAGATTAGATGACTTCAGTGATAGGAAACTTGATCTTGATATTGCAAATTACAGCTGTTTGTAACATTTTCATGCTTGCTACATTAACATAACTCTAACGCTTTCCACCGAACATTTATGCAAGATATACCACATTCACAACTCGACTCCGCATACGAAAAAGTAACGAAATCTAACGGTAACTCAACATCACAAAATGTATTTATATACTTGTTCTATCTTTCACCCCGCACTTTGCACGCCTTCTCATTAACTTCTGTTAATTTCTACACTCATACTTTGACATAAATCCTTCACTTGGTTATCAAATATTTGTTACAATGAAGAACAAATCTTGATTAAATGTTGTTTGTTCTCGAATTTTAATTTTCACCCTTAAGTTTGATCCGCCAACTACCAAGTAACATATTAGTAAGTCAAGTTTTTTAAATTTAATTTAAATCAACTACAAAGTATTGCTTGAATAAACACTGAAGAAAATAGAAATATGTTTTTGGCAATAAATATGTCTATAAACATTACAAGCAATTTAATATTCATTCACCCTCCAGTTTTATTACGTCATCTTAACATGTAGCTTTTTGTCAATTTAAATGGATATCTTTCGCTTTTAATGTTGCCACTGATAAGGTTAGCATCACACTCATTCCACCAATCAACGTGAATTGGAAGTGTGCTAAGGCATACTTCTCTTTTTTATTGTTCTTTTCATCTGGTTTTACTGGTGGGACCATTTGATCTGTTAAAATGAACTTTGTTTTAAAGGATTGTTGAAATAATTTTTTGTTGGAATAAAGTTCTTTTGGTAATGTGATTATAGTAAAATAAAATAATGTTGTTTATTTGGACTATCATGACCTGTCATGCAGATAACACTATCCTTCCCAGCTTCTGGGTCCCACTTGTTTGACACATACCAACTGAATGCGCTACTTCCTGCCTGGAAATATGCATAATTTTTTTCTCCTGATATGGCCGTGTATTCCGACAATGTACTCCATGTCATCGATTTGGCTAAGAATTAAAATTAAATTTGAAAAAAATATTTCATTATTGCATACGATTGTATATTTTCGTTTTGTTTTAAAATTACAAAAAACTTTACCATTGTGTTTCCATGCCCACACATCTCTCGTAGAACCGACCCAGAATGATTTGAAATCCGGGAGAGCAAATAACTCAACGTCGTTGAAATAGCTTACTGGAAAAACTTCGTCAAACACTACCAAATTCGCTTTTTCTTCTGCACATAAACTCTGCCCCTCGTACCAAGAAAGGACTGCATGGAATACAAAAAGACATTGATCATCATAGATAGTTGTGTAAGCTATATCATCTGGCCTATCATTAAGGAATCTAACTGCGTTGTCTGAAACGCGCTGGACAACAGTGTTCCAATCTTCTCTTGATAACCCGTAAGCAGTCAAATTATCATCGGATATCAAAAATGGGTTATTTCTTACAGCTTCTTCAGGAATTATATTTTCTATTATGGTTTTCAAAGAATTCTTAATATTTAGTCCTAAAATTTTCCGGTCTTTTATTACTGCAAATTTTTCAAAAAAATCACCATAAACGCGTTTCACTAAATTAGCTTTATTTATATAATGTTTTTTTAACACTTTATCAAATTTTTTAAATATTTCCTTAACCTTGCCAAATTGAGTTTCTGTTACATTGTAACCCAACTTTACGACATCTTGCAAAGTTATTGTATCAACATTTTCCACAGCAGCATATACTTGACCAATCTTTTTAAAAGACAAATCTTTTGTTGTAGCTAAAAAATCTTGCTTACCAACTAAAATTGATTTCCAATCTAAAATTTTGCCATTTTTCAAATGACCGATAAAAGCGTTTACATTGATCAACCCGCTTTTTATTCCTGAGGTTAAATTTTCAAAAGCTGTTTTATAATCTTTAAATTTTGCTTCTGATAAGTTCAGCTTTCTCATGTGTTCTTCGGTGAAATTTAATATATTTCTTCGATCTTTCAGTATGTGCTCTCCGATTATCTGGAAATCTAAATTTTTAAAATGTTCCAAAACCTCTTTGTTTATCAAGTCATCCCATTGCTTTCTTAAAAGAGGAGAAAGAACTTCCTGAATTTTCATGCATATTTTATTCACAATGGCTCTTAAACCTTCGTGACCAACTATTTTTTTAATTTCTGGATATGTTTTAGTTTCATAGACTTTCATGTCCGCGGCGGTTACACCTACATCTTTTTCATCTAGATTTGATATTTGCTTTGGGTCTATTAACAGGTCGATGAATCTGCAAATACTTCGCATATTTACAGTTTTCATCCAGGTTAACAATGTGTATGTACTATTTTTAAAGTGATCTCCAAACTTGGCAGGAAAGGTGATATGATGACTAACCCCATTTTCTTTATTAATTTTAATTTTTATGATTTTGGCCAGTTTCTTATACCCAAGAGTTATACTATCATTAGCTTTTTTGTTAAGGAATTTGTTTAACGAATCTTTGGAATGCGAAAAATTATCTTTTATGATATTTCTTATATATGTGTCATTTTTCAACACAGACGGCTCTATAAGTTTTGAAGTATTCAAGTACTGTATAATTTCGTTCAACTCTTCATCCGATAAACTTGTGGAAGTTTTTTTATGAACTGATTTATTTTCCAGATTTTTATTTTCCAAATGCAAGTTTTTATTTTTAAAGTTATTATTATTCACCTGTACGGTGACTTTTTTATTTTGAACAATATGTCGTTTGTATATTTTTAAACTTACGGCTTTGTTCGGCCGTATCCTGGAGCATTCGCCATTTATTGCTGGTTTTACGCAGACAACTGTATGAAGTTGTTCATGGTCGGCTGTTTGAAACATCCACCTTCTTTTGTTTTTTTCATCAATTGTCGCGTATACGTAGTTCTCAGTACCGTACACTACTGTTGGTCCACCCTTTTTTGACATCGGACCTGTTTATTTGAAGCGAACAGATGTTGTGATTATTTTCTTTCTCATATAAATACGATAATTATCAAGAGTTTAAATTATTTTAAATTAATGGAAATTGTTTTATAACTTGCTAGACGATTACGCTTTATGGACATAAAGTCATGGGCTTTTGAGTAAACGACATTTATCGGATAAACATTCTTCACGGCATTTTGAATTGAATTGGCAAATGATAAAGCAGCTTTGTGAACGGATTCATCGTACGGCTCTAAGAGATAGCTGTCTGGTTTTCTACTTTTGCATATTTTATCGGCATCTTCCAGCATATTAACCTGCTCTTTATTGTCGAGTTTTGCTTGGAAGAAGCAGTGCGAGGCATGTATCTCGCAGTCCAATGTTACATTTTTATTCTGTAATCCACTTGAAAACTTTTGACCTGGTATCATTTTTAAAAATTTAATTTGTTTACATTTGTTTAGTTAATGCAAAAGTTTATCATAGGACTTGGCACGAATGCATTGTTAGTGTTCATATTGTTATAACCGTCATTTTTTATTATTTTTATATTCCATATAAGAATAATAATAAAAAAATATATTCGCTGGAGGCGCTAGTGTTGCTACGAACACATACAGTTCGAGAAGGAGCTAGAACCTTCTGACAGCGAGATATCTAGGACGTTCGAGAAGCGGTGGTAGGACGGGTACATAAAGACATGCGAGATATTGAATGGTTATTGGACATTTGATATTAGAAAGCGATTGATTGTTAGTGTCGAAGCGATATTTGGATAGTTGACACTGCGTTGTTATTTTTATAGTATTTGCGATAAACGTTAGTGCATAGTTATTTTAGAAAGCGATAGTTTCCGAACGTTAATTTGATAGTTTGGGAACATTAACTTTTATTAGTAAAGTTAATTAACGTCAATTATTGATTAATTATTAATTATTGTAGGGTAAATAAATAAATCCATAATATGGAAGTTATTTCGTGTCACTATTTTTCACTGGGATTAAACAAACTCTTCGTCGACCGGGACAGTTATACCAATATATATTAAAATTTTCTCTCTAAATATCTAATAAACAGTTGAAGAGAATTTACTTTTTTGCAAAATCTTAAAAATGATATTCATCATCATTATTAAATAAATCTTCATTAGCTATTTGACATTTTGCTACATTAATAGTAACCATTTTTAAACTTAAAAAACTTTAATTCTCACCGCCAATATATAAAATAAGCGCAAAGATAACATGCTTCGGCAAATATTTCATACTAGTAGGCGATCGCTTCTTTAAAAAATTTTATATTCTCTTGAATGATAATTATTTATTAAACAAAGGCAATCGATAAAATTAGTTTTTTATTTATTCAACGACGTAATTCGTATATTTATTCTTATACGTCAACAAAGACGATATTTTACATTTCTGTTTCTCATCTAGCGAATATCTAGCATGCAGATATTATAGACTGTCAACATACATTGCTAATAAGATCAAGTACTTGTTCTGAATTACACAATTGAATATTCATAATAAAATTTGTTATATTTATTTATAGGAAATTTTTCTGAGCCATATCGCGAAATGGAAAAAAAACTATAAATTAAAATGAAACAGTTTGAGGTTCCAACAAATAATTTGGTTATCTCGTACAACTTTGAAGAAGTATAGGTACACGTAAATCATTTCTGCAAATTTTACGATGTTGTGTTATTGTTTATGAAATAATAATTCCAATAATAATTATAATATATTTATAATATAATATCAATTATTATTAATATTATAGTTATGAGTGAAATTATTACTCGATATTTAGTGAAGTAGGCCGCTCTCATCATAATTAGCGTAAACGCAGCCACTCCACATCCAAGCAGTATTTTGTATTCTCCAACTTTCAATTTTTAACATAATTTGATATTTTAATTAATTAATTAGATGTTAAAATTAACTAATTAGTAAAGTAATATACTTATTTCGAGACAGATAAATAAAGTAATGAATTAGTTACTTAATGTAGGTGTTGATTTGTCGTCTAGAAATATTAAAATTTTTTCAAGTGTTTAGTCATTTAGGGATAAATAAATAAAGGTTAAAAGTTAAAGGTTACTCTCTCTCTTTTGCGTTAGCTTCAGAGGTTTCAACGACAAACACACACAGCGTATATGAATACGCGTGCAAACCACGCATCATACACATTGCATATGATAGGCGGGGATCTCTTTGTATTCGAACCCAGTAATTGCAATAGCAAGACCAGGCGCCTTTAACCATTGAGCCATCACGCCGCCCGAAATGGTAAATGAATGAAAGCGCACTGGTCATGCAGAGTATTTCGTGTTGTCCAGCCTCTGTGTACCACCTCTCGGACACCATCCAACTGTATGCATCATCTCCAGATTGCAAGTAAATGTAGTTTGGCCCGTTGTAGAATGCTGTGAATGAACTTAAAGTGTTCCACGCTAGAGATGATTCTTTTTTTTTTTTTTTATTTTAATATACAGTTAATATATATAATATATTAATTGCATCAAATTATACGAACTTTTGTTCCTCCAAGTCCAAACGTGTTTTGTAGCTCCCGTCCAAAATGACGGAAAATCGTTAAGACCAAATATTTTTGGATCGTTGAAAACACTTGTCGGGAAGTATTCATCGAATACAACCAAGTTGCCATTGTTAGCAGCGCACATACTTTGAGCTTCATACCACGATGTAACAGCTCTGTATACGACTAAACATTTATCCAGATAAGTAAATCTATGCAAGATGTCAGAAGGATCCTCGTTAGAGTATGGGATTGCATTGTCTGCAATGCGCTGCACAACATCGTTCCATTGGGATCTTCTAATTCCGATTCGAAACAACTGGCCATCTGTCACGGCATGCGGATTGCTAATTAGGTCGTACAGGATTATGACCTTTTCTATATTATCTATTTCTTTTTTATTTACGTTTAAGCCTGATATCTTCATTGACTTTACTATTGCTATTTTTTCGTCAATTTTGTGATAAATTTTTCTAGTTAAAAATGTAATGTTTAAATTAAATTTTTCCATCGTTTTCTCAATCTTATGAAATATTTTCTGTACATATTCAAAATCCTCATCTTTTATATTTAATCCCAGTGCACGTACTTCTTCAATAGTTACTGATTTTATTTTATCATACAAAGTTAGCATGATCTGACCGATTTTTTTAAAATTGAATCCCTTGATATATTCTGTAAAATATGTTTTTCCTGTTCTAATGAAGGATTGCCAGTTACAAATTTTCCCGTTTTTGATAACTCCTATCAATGCATTTACATTGCTCGATTTATTTTGCAAAGAACCTACTAATTTATAGAAACCTTCTTCGTATTCGTCTATTCGATTGGTGGGAACACCCATTTGCAAAAAGACTTCTCTTGAAAAGTTCGTCAGATGTTCCTTATTCTCCATTATAAAGTCTCCTATCATCTGAAAGTCTAAATTTTTTATACTATCAACCAGGTTTTTATTGAATAACGTTTTCCAGTTTATTTTCAGTAGTGGTGAAAGAATTTTGTGTATGGTGTAGCAGATTTGCACTATGAGATTACGGATGCCCTCGTGTCCGAGGGCAGCGGCAATGGGTGGATATACAAACTTTGTATAAATTCTGAAGGCACTCCTTGGAATGTGTAACAGTTCTGCTTCTTCTTCACTAAACTTTAATGGATTGTTTAAAAACTCCAGATATCTGCATATTAAGCCGAAGTTAAGATTCTTCAACCAATTCATAAACTTTACAAAATTTTCTTTAAACCTTTGACCCAAACGCACAGGTAAGAAACTTGTGTTGCCATTAAAATAATGCTTTGTTTCAAATACCATTTTAATCACTTGAAAAAGTTTATGGACACTGGCGGAATTATTTATCTGAATTCCTAACTTTGCAATACTTTCTCTAGAATATTTTGATGTCTTGTTATACAAAACTAGTTTTTCCAGAAAAATTGTCAGATCTGAGTTATTTCTGAATATCGAGGTTGTATTTAAATAAGATTCAATTTCTCGCCACATTTGTTCATACGATTTGTGCATCATTGTTGAATTTGATTTCCCAGTTGAAACTATTTGATTAGCCAATTCTTCAATAGATAATTTATTTCCGGGTGCGATGCATTCATCCGAATGCTTTTTTACATTACGTACGTTGTTTAAGTTAGAGCTGGGTTGTCTTTTGTTAAATGTTCTGCTTGCTGCGTTCGATGGCTTAATGGTTTTTGTGCATTCAGCCATAGCTATTGGTAGGAGACAAACGACGGTGTGGTACTGCTCGTGATCAGCTGTTTTGAAATCCCAGGTGTTGTTGAGAGTTTCGTGTCTAATCCCGTATACGTAGCTGTCGCTCTTGTCCGATACCAAATTTGCCGCCGGGAAAGGTTCTAATGGTGTAAGTGATAGAAATTTAAATTTAAAAGATTTAAGTGGAATTATGTCGAAAATTTCGTAAATTGGTAGAAAATTATTTGAAAAATTTATTCTGAACCTGGCATTTCATTCATTTTCATGTTCTGGTATTTGTCGGCGAGCTCGAAAGCAGCGTTAGTAGGGTAGACTGATTTCTTTACACTACCGTGAGAACTGAGAAATTTCTTTGCACCTTCATGAACAGCTTGATCATATGGTTCCACTAAATAGCTTTCAGGTATCTTTTTTCTGCAAAAATCGTTGGCATATTTCACGCTGAAAACTGCGTCATAAGTTTTCAACTTTGCGAGAAAGAAACAGTGGGAGTCGTGGTAATTGCAGGAAAGTTGCTGACTCTCTTCGTTTGTTTCTCCGATGCCTGTTTCAATTCAGTGAATATTTGTACTTTGTTTTCATTGTTCACATTCATATTCAACCTGTCCATACTTTTTGAGGTTAGATAGAGAATTGTTGCAATTGTTTCAAATCTCACGAACATGTTTTCGAGTTTAGTGAAAGAATTTTCAGCTATATCAAAAAATAAATCTTCATATCAGTAACGTCAATTTTACTAAGTATTTGATTTTTTCTTCTACTCATTTTTATTCATAAACAATGCTTTTTGTTTACTACTGTTTTGGAAGATAAAGATTAAAACGTAATTCGATAATTTTTATCTGATTATTTATCATTTTATTACAAACTTGTCAATCAACTGTATGTAATGATTTAGTATTGAAAGATTTTAATGATATTTATTTTCATTTAACATGCGTGTAAAATTCTAAATCTTTTTTTTCTGATATATAATTTTTATTTGTTTTCCATTTTGTATTCATTTCTTCTTCGGCAACATCACCTACTCTAACCAATTAATCATTCCACAATTCTTCTATAGGCGCGTGCAGGGTTGTCGTAGTTCGATCTGTTTACTTCACTCATTTTTGTTCTCAATTGTTTTGTGGATTTTACAGTTAAATGCATTCACTGACACACTCAGATATACGTAGGAACTTGTATATATTCATCCTTTAGCAAATCACGCATACACGTTCAATGCACACACAGACACACATATGTAGAAATAGAAAAAAACATCTAGACACAGAGGCTCACATATATGTAGATAAGTATCTATAAATGTGCACAAACGATAGAAAGTGAGTTGAATCAATATCACTTTGAAAAGATTAATGATTCCGAAACGGTTGAACGAGTAGATTGTTTTTGTTGTCTTTTTGTTCGATGTTTCTGAATTTTTATCAACCTAGTATCGATTCATTTCCACGTTTTGTTGATTTTTTAAATTTTATTTTTGTTCATTTTTTAAATTACACACTTGCAGATAGAAAGTTTTAGGTGGTTTAATTATGTAGAGACGAATTTTTCTTGGTTTCATTTCGGTTTTTCAGTTTTATTTGTAATTACGAGAATTTTAATGAATTTAAAAAATGTATCGAATTGTTCTTCCAGGAATTTTATTCATTTTTCTTACGCCAACTGATTTTTAATTTGTCTTAGTTTTTGAATTTTCTTAGTGGTACCAAAAACGATTGTGTATATGTAGGCCAAGTAACGTTAAGTTTTTTATATGTAAATGTATTATTGTGCTTGTATGTGTGTGTGTATGTGTTTACATGAGTGTGCCTGTGTGTGTATATGTATGCAACGGTGTGCGCTTATAAGTAAATGCTTAGGCAAACATGTATTGATGTCAAAAAAAAGAGATTTTCATATATTTTGTCAGTCAGAAAAGTTATTTCTAATGTTTGCTCGAACAAACACACGCACACACACATACGCACACACACATACGCACACATACGCACACACGTATTGTTGTGCAAAGTCAAGTTTATTATCTAAAAAATGTAAGCAAACATACAATTAAAAATAAAGTTGCAGTTCTTACGTTCAAATCATTGAATGGTATGTCACCGGAATATAGGACAATTGAACTCTCGCCAAAAAACAAGCTACATCGACTTTTCATCTCGGGTCGGATGATCTGAATTTGCCGTCTGTGCCAGTTACACGTTTGCAAGTTGGTTCAAGAGAGATTGCAGCTGGTGGTCCCGCTGTTTGGAAAAGTCTTCCACCGGCATTGAGAAGATTTGGACTTTCCATGGAATCATTTAAGAAAGAATTGAAACATTTTTATTTTCTATTAAACTGTGAAAATTGTGACTTTTTTAGTTTTTGTCTTTCAAATATAGTCACTTACATTTTGTTGTTTTAATGTGATCGCTCGTAAAACCGTTTTAATTAGCGCTAGCAAATTGCTCCTAATAATAATACAAATACATAAACATACAAACATGCATGCATCCAAACACACAAATATGCAAAACATACAAAGTTCAAGTCAGAAGATGATTGATTAACTTAAGTTTTGTATCGTATCTCGACTGCAGCACTTATTTATGCTTTCAAGTATATCAACTGCCTGGCCTGCTTCTGCATATTCTTCTTACATTTTGTCTTCTTGCGCATCCAGTCAGCCATGCATTTAACTGGCATTATAACCATTCAGATGGTTTAGTGTCTCTAATTCGTTAGTTGTATTCATTTTTTGGCTCACCGTTTTTTATTTTTAACTCATGAAATTTTATTCATAGTCTTTCTTCATCTTAAGATGATTTATATTTTCTTCATTTTTTCTTTTTCAACCCTTCCGTTTATTTTGTAAACTTGCGTTTTCAAGTTGGTGAACGATCTGATTTTGTTGCACACATGCTGAAGCGCCCAGTTATTTATTTCTCTTTTGTTGTTCTTTTCATGTACTCGATAGTTTTTGTTGTACTTGGTTATTTAGCAGCTAACTGTTCATCGCATGTTCATGTTTTCTGAGGTTCGTCTGCTTTCTTCCGTTACGAACGTTAATTTTATGCAAATTTCAACTTTAACAATATATTTATATACATAGCTCCATTTTAAAGACTGTGAAATCCAAAAATTAGCATAGAGAATCGTTTTTTTAAACCACCAATTCAAAACGAAGTTTAACTTTTTTTGGTCAGTCTAATACATTTAGTGCTGAGACACACACACACATACATACCACACACACACAAATAGAGACATATGCATGCATACACACATACATACACACAGACATTCACAAATACACAGACATACACATGATGATAGTGATGATGAATGACAATGATGATGAAGAATATCTTAACTGGGATGATGATAATGATTTCGATAATGATGATGATAGTGATGATGGAGCTAATGACGAAGAAGAAGATGCTGATAATGAGGATTGTGATGTTGATAATGATGATCGTGATGATGATGACGACGATGGCGATTGTGATGATGATGATGATGATGATGAGGTAGATGAAGGGTTTAATATTGATGATGACTATTATATCATCATTTTATGCCTGCTTGCTTGCTTGCCTGCAACGTCTTTTGGCGGCATTTCTTCGTTAAACATCTATTATAGTGACCAGATGACTGGTCTCTATGGTGAGGACGATGACAATGATGATGTGGATGATGGTGGTAATTGAAGATGATGATGATAATGATGATGATGAGGATGATGATGATGAGGATGATGATGAAGATGGTGTTGATGGTGATGAAGATGGGGTTGATGATGATGACTGGAATGACGATTGGGTTGATGTTTGTGGTTGTAATGACCGTGATGTGATGGTTGTGATGATGGTGGTTGTATTGAGATGATGATGAGTGCGATCGCTATCATGGATGCGATTATACTTTTGACGTCGTCAGGATTTGAGTTGTTGTTGCCGCAAATGACAACTGACAAAAACAACAACTTTTACTTTTTCCATGTTTGATGGTAATTATCACGACAACGCCAATATTAATATTTGTCAACTCTTCTTTTTTCAGAGTTGTTGCTGTTACTGTTGTTGTTATCTAATTTTATTGATGTTATTGTTACTCTGTTGTTGTTGTCATTGTTTGCACCGCACCAAGGCAAGGATGAAGCACACATATTTTATGTGCATGCACACATTCTCTTTAAGATTACAATCTTTATACGTGCGTACATAACATATATATATATATATATATATACATACGTACATATATACATATGTACGCATACAAACATTCAAACGTAAGTATACAGTATGTGTACATTTTGTATACAATGTGTATACATAGTTTGTATTGTTTATTTGTTGTATGTGTAGTTGCGTACCTACATATATATACATATGTACACGTACAAACATGCATACGTAAGTTTACAGTATGTGTACATTTTGCGTACAATGTGTATGCATAGTTTGTATTGTTTATTTGTTGTATGTGTTGTTGTATATTTATACCTACATATATACAGGCGACATAAAATGTATTTATTGCTCTGACAATCAATAGTTCATTTGTTGAGGAAATTTCCATATCTATTCAATCATCAATCAGTCACTCAGTTGATCAACCATTCAATCAGTCATTCATCCAGTCAATCATTCAATCAATTCTTCACCCACTCACTTGTCCAGTCTTTCTATCCTTTATTCAATTTGGGCGTATCATTCTATTTGTAAGTAATAGAATAATTTGTTATTAATTTTGTTATATATCGTTACTAGTAACATTACGCTACATACTAACTTCACAGTATTTATACCTGACTGATATACAAATATAGTTTATGCATCATTGAATTTTGAATATCATTTTTTTGAAGTATCATTTGATTTTTAGTATCATACATTTTTATGTGTCATTTTGTTTAAAGTATGTATCATTCTCTCTTGGGTATCATTCAGTTTTTAGTATCATCCAGTTTTGGATTTCTCATCTCCCTTTTAATGTCCCAATCGCACATATGGTTAAACGAACTTGATGAAATTCAATAAATTCTATCTCTTCACTTAATGATTGTCTTCAAGTTTGTTGTCTCTCATTTTCGTTTAAATGATTTTATGTATATACTATATATATATATATATATATATATATATATGTATATATATATGTATATATATATTTATATATATATATATATATATATATATATATATTTCAAAGATGATTTTTATATTTTTTTAGACAGATGGATGATGAGTCTGTGAACTCAGTTTTTTTTTTTTATAAGTTTGATTGTATAACACTACTAAAGAAGTGACAATGTCAAGAGAGTCAATGATGGAATAGTATTGAGAAGAGGAAGAAGTAACAGAATCTAGTTTGAAATCAGGGTCAAGGTTTGAATGAAAATCGTTATGATCAATTGCAGATGATGATGATGATGAAGACGGCACATATATGAATACATGTGTGTGTGTGTGTGTTAATGTGTGAGTGTGTGTGTTTTTGTGTGATGTATTGTATGTATGTATGCGTGTGTGTGTGTGTGTGTGTGTTTGTTTAAAGGGAAACTTTTATTATATATTTTGTTATATGATTTGTTATAAAACAAAATATAGATTGACGGAATTTTTGGAAGATTTTTTTTCTGTTATATAGTAGTTATTCATCATTTTAAAAACTTATCATCTTCATCATCGTCATCATTAATATTATCATCATCATCGTAATTAAATAATAATCAACGTTTTTATAATTATCATCATCGTCATCATCCCCATCATCCCCATCATCATCGTCATCATCACCGTCAAGGACTTAAGTTGCTTACCGGGGCGTAAGTTTTTTGAAATATTCATCCAATCATCAGTCAATCCTTTTTTAGTTCAGTCATTTTCATTTCATTTTTTCTCATTTTCATTTTTTTTCATCATATCTTCATTTTATCATTCCTTCATCTTATCATTCTTTTATTCTGTCGTTTCTTCTTTCTATCATTCCTTTATTTCATCAAATAAAAATGTAGATGATAGGAAAGATTATAATGATAACGCAGTGCCAGCAGCGAAATGATGATGAAGATGATGGTGATGAAGAAGATGCTGCTGATGAGAAGCTGATGATAAATAGACAGACAGACAGACAGATAGATGGAGGGATGAACGGACGAACGAATAGATGGATGGATAAATGTTTTAATATTTGACCAACTTGTCGAGAGTAAAAGAAAATATAGAAGAAATTCAGGTGGAAAAATAGCCTGTTTGTCTGCCGCGATGTTGACTTTACGTGTCAAAATGCTTTTATTATGCATGAGTCTTGCTTTCATAAATTATCAGCTTCATCAAAATTGTCGTTGTTGTTGTCGTTGTTGTTGTTGTCGTTGTTGTTGTTGTCGTTGTTGATGTCATTGTTGATTGTGTAGCTGATGTTGACGACGACGACGATGAGTTGCCAACGTTGTTGTTGTGTCTAATGCAGATGTTTATGTTGTGATTGTGGGGCTGTAAATATTTATTATGATTGGACAATTGTAAACATGGCCAGCCAGGAAGAACTACCAATTGTGATGTGACCACGATGAAG